ATCTCTGGCTTTCATTCCATAAACTGAACCTCTCTCCAATCTCCTTTCAGAATGACTGCTCTCCATTCTGTAATAATTAGGTGGCCTAGATTCATATAAAGGCCTCTTGCCTTTAGAATGCAGTCTGTCCACTACAGGCTCAACCACTAATGGTCGTTGCCAATCACTAGCCGGATACGGCCTTTTGTTATAAGCCTTGGTTGATTTAGGACGTCTATGCACATCCTTGTAATATTGTTTCCCATCAATTGGAAGCCCTTTCAACCATTTGTAACTCAGTCTGCACCTAGAACACATCCTTTGCATTACAGCTACTTCCATGGAATCATCATCCAGTGCTTCTTCATCAGAATCTTCCCTCTGGCGTGAGAAACCTTGTCCAATAGCTAGCAGATCTCCAATGTCCTTGTTGGTAGTTGTCTGGTTGGCAATATGCATCTGCACATTGACCTCTTCCAATTCCTGCAGAGACAAATTCTGGAAGTTTGGTACAACAACATTAGCTGCACTTTCTCTAACCTCTGGAAATGGATTGCTGTCTATCCCCATGGCCTTTTCTGCTTTAGCTGGGAATTTTAAGCTTCCTTTTCGAATTTGTTCTTGGATCCTGTCTCGAAAAACAATGCAGTTTTTAGTCGAGTGAGACCAAGAGTTATGCCATTTACAATATACTTTTCCTTTAAGTTCATCTGGAGATGAAAATTTTACTCCTTTTGGTAACTTAAGGAAGTTGGCCGCGAGCAAATGATCAAAAATATCATCTGCCTTTGTTAAATCGAAAGAGTACTTCTTGTGAAGGTCTTTCTTTTTAAACTGCTGGTCAATTATTGTATCCTTATGAATTAAGGCCTCACAGATCACAGGTTCTTTGCCCACAATTTCTGCTACATCGATCTCATAATTAGGATCTCTATAATATATCTTGTACGATGCATTATTTCAATCTTATTCCTCCTCTAGTAATGCTTCATACCTAGACACCTTATAGGTTAGTTCCACCAAATCTCTGAATTCAGTTGAGTCAAACTTCTTTCGAAGCCTGAACTCTAAGCCATTTTGAGCCAATCTTACAAATTCTGGCTCTGGCAGGATGACTCTACATTTATTTTGAGCCCTTTTAAATCTGGCAATAAACTGAGTAGCCTTTTCTTCAAGCCTTTGACTCAATCTTGCCAAGTCTGCCATGGAGACCTCTGGCTCCCATTGGAAGAATTGGGCATGAAATGCCTCTTCCATTTGTTGCCAAGTTTGAATGGAGCCAAGTATAAGGTTTATGTACCATACAAATGCTCCCCCAGTTAGAGAATTTGGGAATAATCTCAACTTCATATATTCATTATTAGTAAATTCACCACATTGAGCAGCAAACCTAGAAATATGCTCTACTGTTAATTGATTTCCACTCCCATAAAAAAGGGTAAAATCTGGTATCCTGAACCCTCTTGGGTATTCATGTACCCTATCTACCCATTCGGGGTATGGCTTTCCGTACACATGAGTCTGGACCCCTCGAGCCATCGGTCCACACATCTCCCTAACAATATCAGTAATTTGGTCCCTAGGGACCATATTTTGTGCCTGTTGAACCACTACTAGAGAAACAAACACAGGGTTTGGTAGGCAAACTTGTGCTTGTGGTCCTCTTAGTCCATAAGGTGGTACATTTGGGACTGGTTGTCCCTGTGGTGCAGGTTGCTGTTGGGGGTGTGGGTAACCCCTTTGTGCCTGTCCTGCGAAAGGACCTGCGAAAGGTGCTGGAACAGGTGTTGTGTCTCTTCCATTTGTAGGAAAACCTTCCAACCCCCCAGGTATAAATTCGAATAAGGGATTTGTGAACCCCCTCGTGCCAGGTATGGCTTTGAACATAGGATTTGTGACCATTCTTATGCCATTTTCTTGTACTGAGCTAGATCCACCAACTTGCATGGCTTCATCGTTAAATACTGGGACATTTTGACCTACTATAGGCCTCGAAATAGGTTCGTTCCAAGACTGAGGTGATGGTCTTTCATAGTTCTGATTATTATTTTGACCATTGGAATGCCCATTAACTTGCATAGGCTGTTTATCTCTAGCCAATCTTTGTTGAGGGACATTTGGAACTTCTTCTATGTGTCTTACATTTGTTGGTTGGTGGTTATTCATTCGATCTAGAAAAGATGTTGCCCACCTTTCCATTGTGTTCATTAATTGCTATCCCATGGCATCTACTAGGCCATCCCATGGATTTATTGGCTGAGTAGATGGAACAGTGGATGGTCCAATTCCTTGGTTTCGTCCAATACTATGAACATGTGGTTCTTGTCCTGAAGTACTGGTCTGTTCGACCATAGGTTTTGATAACATAGGAGTTTCCACAGGATGTGTTATCACATTATCCTCTGAATTAGGTATTTCTACCTCTCCTTCTACGCCTTCTTCCAAGCGTTCATTTTCTCATTGTCTTCTTCTTCTAGCCATTTCAATTAGTCTCACTAGACGTGCCAAAAATCTATGTTGGCTTTTTGGCTTTCGAGGGTTATTTTTGTAAATGCGAGCGTGCCAGCAAGGATCAATCAGTCCTTACAGAATTTTAATTGCCAACCAATTATTAAATGATTGTGTTTTAGTTCTTTCAGCCTCAATAAAGAGGACTTTTACTGGTGGCTTGACTTAGAAGAATTAAGCAAAATATTAATCAACTGAAGAACAATTGAAGCATTTCATTAGAATGAAAAACTTACAATGATCCAAACTCAGCCTCGTAGAGGTTTACAGCGACAATCTACTTGAAACTACTCCTATGAACGAAGTGCAGTGCAGGAATAACCACTGTCACCCATGTAGCTCATTTAAACAACATGAAAGGTATAATTGTAATTTTACAGATAGTTTTTAACTACCTTCCCAAATGACTTTTAGGCAAAAAAAAAAGAAACTTTTAGCTTTTTACCGAAGTTGCAAAAAACGCACTTGTTAACGTGTTCACAAATGGTCTCTTTATAGTTTTTAGTCTATTTTAGAAAAATGGTTAAAAGTTAATTTTTTAACTTTTTGTAATTTTTTTTTTTAAATGTGTAAAAAATATAAGAAATGATATGATCCAAAATGGATTAAAAGCTGACTTTTGGCTATTAACCCACTTCCTAGAAGAGCCCAAAGAAAAAAAAATGAAATGATTATAATTTAGATATAACATTTTATTTTATTAACTTTTATCTTATTTAGTCTTTTAATGGGCTAAATTAACTCCAACCATCATGCCAAAGGAGCCTATGTCCTCATTTGGCATAAGCTAAACGGGGTTTTTTAGCTAAAATAATCACAACAAGATAAAATAGGCTTTTTAGCTTAACAAAACAAAATGTCACATCTAAACTATAATCATTTTATTTTTTCTCTCAAAAAAGTCAAAAAAATCAAAAAGCCTATCTCAAACGAGTCTTTTTAGCCTCAGGCTAAAATAACCAAAAAATCAAAAAGTTAACCCACATTCCAAACGAATCTTATATAAGATCTAACTAAAAACTTTTTGAATCATAATTAAAATAATATCATAATTAACATTATAATAAATCATAATTAACCCTATAATAGGTTATAACAAAAAATTACAAAAGTCCTAATTAGACATATAGTACACACCTTAAGAGGGATTGTGTATTATAAATCTATTTTGAAAAATAAGTTAAAAGTCAATTTTTTATTTTTTTATTTTTTAACTTTTTTAAAAATATATATATAAAAAAAATAATATAACTTAAAAAAATTTAAAAAGTGATTTTTAATCAACTTGTCAAAATACGCCAAAATTCCCCTCTTTCTTTGACACCTGTAGCTCAATATCATGACGCAGTATGATGGTCTCACCATGAAAGTTTTCGACAATGAAAAAACAAACGCACACCAAAAAGAAAGAAGAAAACAATAAAAGTCTGGTAATCCAGAATTATTTATTCAATTTTTTTTGACTAAGTCATTGTGGTGAAAATTAAATTTATATAGTATAATATTTCTTCTGTCTTAAAATATTATTTTTTTATTTTATTTTTTATTGTCTCAAGATGTTAGTTCATTTTCAAAAATTAAGAACTCAAATATTATAAATTTCTTATTTTATTCTTCTTTTAAATTTATTAATAATATAAAAAGTATAATTATAACAATTGATATTTCTAAAAAAGTATAATATCAAAAGGTAATTTTGAAAAACTAATATTTTTAAAGTGTAATAATTGTATTATAAAAAAATTGAATTCTTCAAAAGAAATTATTATTTTAAAAGGAATGGAGTATATAAAATAAATTTAAATTATGAAATAATAATTTTAGATAATTTTTAAATAGTTAAATCTGATACTGAAAAGAAAAGGCAAATGGAAAATCTCTTTCCCATTTTGTACTGCTTAGGTGTTGTCTTGTCTGCGTTGGTTGGAGATTCGTCCATGCTTATCAGGAATTCCATGACAACAACTTCTTAACAACCCTAAAACCCAAAAGGTGACGGCTTAAGAATTCTCTCTCTCTTTAAATTCTTCACATTCTTTTTTTTTTCAAAATATTTATAATTGTTGAATTATTTCTTAAAATCTTGTATTTTGAGCTATTTTTATGATTTAATGATTTTTAGTGTTTTGAGATATAAAGACAGAATTTTTAGCCTAAGAATGACATATTTTGTTGACATATTTCTCTTTCTTTTCTCTTATCTCAAAATATTCATATCGTTTAAATCAATAATCCTTCTTGCACTAATCTTTGCAATGGTGATTTAAGGGTTAGTAACAGTCAATTGAGTGGTCAAAGAGCATTACAAGATTTATTGCAAGAGAGATTATGACACATAATTCTATCCCTTAATGCTAGGCTTGTAAAAAAAAATATTTCAAAATTATTTAAAAAATAAAATGCGTAGATCAAATTTATTATTGGTGTCATTTACACTATAGTAAATTTAAATCTATATTATACGTAAATTAAATCTATATTATACATTTTATTTTCAGAATAAATTTTTTGAAATACTTTTCTAAGTGCGCCGGCATTGCTATCAAGAAAAATGAAAATTGATGCAGAAAAAGGATTGAAAAGGACAAAAGGAAACTTCTTTCCATTAAAGCATTTGGATATCAAGCTTAGATTGTGGATTTGGGTTCACACCATCACCACCATCAACACCCACCCTATCCACTTCCTCAGCTTGATATGTTGAATGAACACCATATAGTATATAAAACAAGGTAATCAAGCAAGCCCACACTCCAAACCTTTGGAAAGCCAACCTCTTCAATGTAGTCATCAAAAAAACATTTAGGAAGATTGATATGGCTGCTGGCCAAGGCATGAAAGGCACACACCACCTGGTGGTGGTGGTGGTGGTGGTGGCGGTGGTGGTGTAGTGGACGAAGGCGGTGCTGATGATTGCAAAGCCGCCGAATATTAGGAGGCACCACCACCATTGGTGTTGGTTGAGCTTCCATGATAAGGAGAAGCCAACGGAGGCGGAGGAGAGGAGGAAGAGGAAGAGGAGAGTGTACAATGGAGGGTTGTTGGTGGCGATGACATAGCGGTGGTAGAGAAGAGCATTGGCGACAAGGTAGAAGACGAGGAGTGTGCCGAGGGAGATCATGTCCATCACTATCTCCAGCTCGGTGAAGAGAGCAATTGATGCTGTGCAAACCCCTACAGAGAGTGAAAGATATGAGAAAAACATATTTATGGTTTTTTTTTTTTTTAAAGCACCAAATAAAATTTGTAAAACAAGAATCTAACTAGAGTCACATAATGAATTTGGAGTTGTAGAATTGAAACATATGAGAGAGAGAGAGAGAGAGAGAGAAGTTATATATCATCATTTTTTAATTATTTTTATATCATTCATACCATATGCAAGACAAAATATTAATTGAACTTATTATTTTTAATATTTTTTTGAAAGAATTCAGGGAGGTTTCATGTTTTAAGGTAAAAAAATAATTGTTGGTCTCTCCTCGCAGCTAGTATGAAAGACAAAAATGAATATGGGTCTTGAAATTTAGAAAAAATACAATAAACTCCCAATTCCGTTTAGTAAGACTTTGAAATATGCTGTGTAGACATGGTAAAGCAACGTAAAATATATATTTTCAATATAAAAAGATGAAAATATCGTTTTTCTATCCATACAACTAACGAATTACTAATGAAAAGATAACTAAGTATTATTTGAATTAAAACCTCAAAAGAGCCTAATGTAATTATGTTAAACTTCTAAAATTCAATGAATTTTCTTAAAACCTTAAGGGAGATTAGTGTCATTTACTCAAAAATATATTGTGTTTTCTAGATGAGAAAAAAAGTGAAGCATATGAGAAAAGAATATTGGTGAAATTTCTGTTTCTTTTGCTTTTTCTTTCATATTTTAATGAGTAATTTTGGTACTATAATGAAGTACATAACTAATCATTTTCGTTTTCCACCAATTTTCACTATTTTATTTTGTAAAAAATGAAACTAAAGAGGATAAGAGATTCTCTCTTCATTTCTCATCATTTTCAACTAATTTATAAACTCAAAGTTATCATTCACATCATTCTTAGTCTTGAAATTCTACTTCACCAATGAATTTGGAATTAAGGCCTGTTAACATATTACTATTAAAAGAAAGATGTTTTAGGGTATGTTTGGATGTTAATTTTACAAAGAAAAAAATATATACAGGAAGTAAAATTACTTATTCATATTTGTTTTTCATAGGTAATTAAACAAAAAATATATATTTTTTGACTAATATGTATTCTTTTTCTTTTCATTTTTCAAGCCCAACCAAAATAAAAAAATAAAATAAAATCACTCATTTTATTTTAATTTTTTTCTATTAAATTTCCTTCTTTTTTTTTTCTTCACAAATCTAAAATCCAAGCATAATATTAGTAGATAGGGAAATGTGTTAAAAAATAATTATACTTTAAATTCTGAAGTATTTTCTCATCTATGAAGTTCTCCAAAGAGTAAAAAAAATTACTCATAAAGTGAAGAAAGCAAAGAAGTTGCTGGGAACATGTCTCATATTGAAGAAGTTTGATCATAAGGATGTTTAGATCAACTATATTATTGTCACCCAAAAAATAAGAATACAAAGCATAAGATAACATAAGGAAAAAAAATCAAATAAAATCCATACTGATCATTGTTTATTTATTTATTTATTGGAGATCAATAACTTCAACAATATTGCGTACACACTACTGCCTTTTCTTCATTGAATAGTGTGAATTTCTTTTGTGTTAATTAAGATGGTGATGAATTGATAAATCCACTGACGAGGTGAGAGAGAGAGAGAGAGAGAGAGAGAGAGAGAGAGTGGTGAATCTAAGATCAACAGTACAAAAATTACTCACCTAAGAAAAGAGTTGCATTGAATGGGGTGCCTGTTGAAGGATGCACTTTGGCAAACCAAGATGGCACAAGCTTGGCCCTTCCAATAACACACAGATACCTAGCTTGTCCTAGCATGGCAACCAGAAGAGAAGCCACAATTCCCAGGCACAGATACCTAGCTTGTCCTAGCATGGCAACCAGAAGAGAAGCCACAATTCCCAGGCTTGCCCCGACCCCGACTACATTGCTTGCCCATCTCCAACCCATCTTTTGGAAAGCCATAGAGAATGATGCATCCAAAATCTATGAATCATTTCAAGAAAATCCCCACTTTGTAAGAAAGATGCACCAAGAAGAACTTCAAACTAGGTCTATTTCACATACTAGCAATCAGGGTTTTCAATATCACTCCAATACTTATCATGGATGTATCCTGATACTGTTATTTAAAACCATGCTAGCAACAGACAATACATGTTTTAGTAAATTTCATGGAAATTTAGATCACTTACCTCGTTATAAGGAACCATCATACACAAAGACAAAGCCATGAGGCAGTAAAGTGCAGAGACAGTGATAACAGAACCGATGATGCCCACCGGGAGGCTCGTTGAAGGGTTTTGGATCTCTTCTGCCATGGTTGAAACCGAGTCATATCCTATATAGCTGAAGTAAACTACAGCTGCACCATCAAAAACACCCCTAACACCGAAAGGAGCTAACCCTCCTGGCTTTACCAAGTTCTCAGTACTCCCATTGAAGAAACCGGCAATTATAATAAACCCAAAGAAAACTACATGAAAGACTGTCATTATGAGGTTCAACATGGAGCTTTCCTTGGTACTGCAATCACAGATGAGAAAAATATCATTTAGTCTCACAAGTCACATGCCACTAAAGAAAATTAAAACCATTACTTCATAGTCCAATAACAAGAAATTATAAATAACAGTGACGGTGATGGGTGTGCAGTTAACAATAATAGGTAAAATAATTGTGGTAATGCTCATGACAACAACCATACTACTAAACCTTCCAAATCCAAAACCAATAAATGAATAAGTACTAAGCTAGATTTCCAATAACAAATGTCAAAAGCAAACAATTGGTGGCAAAGAAAATAAAATGGAAGAGAGGAAGAGTCCAAACTGAAATTTGTGAAATGGCAATCCAAAAAAAAATTTAAAAATAAAAAATGAAAGTAAGGTTGATTTAGACCTATGACAAAGACAGAGAGTGAGAAGAGCAATAAGAGCAACAGCTGGGAAATCCAACATATTGTAACCCTTTAGAAATCCATCCACTTCAACTCTCCATGAGTTTGGATCATTCACTCCAAAGGCACAGGACAGATAGTCTGTGAAACTTCTTGCCACCGCGGCATTGGACAATACATATTCCAATAGTATGTTTGCCCCAGCAAAATAACCCACAAATTCCCCTGCACAGATTCAAAAGAACAACCTAATTCTTTTTTTTCTTTTTCTTTTTTTGAAAAAAGAGTCCATATATTACCATAATCATTTAGTATTGAAAACCAAGAAACTTAAAAGAATTCAAGTGTCACCGACATACCAAAAGTCACTCTTAGATAACTAAAAGCACCACCGGCAACAGGAATCGCAATGGAGAATTCAGTGTAGCACAAAGAAGAAAGGAGAGCTGATACGCCGGCAATGATGTAAGATATGAAAACAGAAGGACCTGAGACACTGCGAGCCACATGACCGGTGGTGACAAAAACTCCAACACCAAGCATTCCTCCCACACCAAGAGCTACCAAATCATACCACTTGAGTTTTCTCTTCATGTCTGCACCAGACCTTAGCCTAACTTGGTTGAGCTCTTGGTCTGGTGTCCATGTAGCTAACATTCGCTTCCTGAGCCGGTGAGGTGTTTGGGAGAGAGAGTGAAGATAGTTGGAGGAGAAAATGTTGTTGGGTGAAGGTTCAATGGCTGCCATTTTTTGTGGATCAGAGAGTGTTTTGGCTTCCATTAGAAGGCTGAAGTGAAGGTTTTAAATATGCATTGGAGAGAATATATTGCTAGATATCCCTTTTTCTTTTAAAGGGTTGTCCCTAGTTTTATTGAAAGTACCTAGTTGTCCTTTTGAGTGTCCGCAAAATGACCAAGATGCCCTCTCTCTAACCCACACACAGCTTTTGAGAGGCCCAAGGCTCCAAAGAAGGGTCTTCTCTAGGAGAAGCATGCAACAAAAAGTGGAAAAAGGCCCAACCATTTTGAAATAAGGTTGTTTGAGGAATCACAAAGAGAGAGGGACTTTGACCTCATCTAAAACTATCAAAAGATGTGACAAGCATCCCACACTTTGTTAAAGCATCTAAATATTTCTTCCCAAGTTTCATAGTTTAAAAAAAAAAAATTATTAATTACATGTATTATAATTCTCATTTGATGGGATTTGACAGGAGTAAATTAGATACAGATTTAAATAAAATATGATATCATAATTGACGGTTGATACAATGATAGTGCTTTGCACACTGAAAATTTTTAAAATCTTTAAAAGCAACATTTGAAAGCTATTGAAATTAAAGAAATTTTTATTTTTTTAACGGTGGTAAGACATATAATAAATTAAAGAAAAGCTCATGAATTAACAAAGGTTAGGTCACAATAGACTACTGAGTTAAGCAGTGATAAATTTTTTGGTACTGCCAAGTATGTCAGCGTAAACTTTACTCTTGTCGTTGTTTCATATTAACAAATTCAATAAAATTGCAGAATGAGTGGTTTCGTATCAAGCAGTTGGAGATGAACTAATGTTCCAATATTAATTGAATACTTTTCACCGATGGTTTTACAATAACGGTGCCATGAATTCTAATGAAAGAAATTTCATTGGTGGCTTGTTTCATGTATAGATTATCATGTAATACACAGCCTTCTATTTCTCTCTGGTAGGTAGCTTTATTTACTGATCTTTCAGGAGCTCAGGATGTAGCTACATCTCATATATGTGCATCAATCCTACCTTTTCTAAACAATATAGTTTTTCATGATATTATAATTGAAACCTAAAACATTTTTTTAAAAAAATAATGTAACACCAATGAGAGAGAGAGAATCTATTTACCCCAAAGATCAAAACAAGATAATTTTGTTTCAAATTCTGACTTATCAGAAGTCACCGTTCATCCACTACAACCAAATTAACTAATTGTATAAAGCAAAATAGAGTATAATTTTCATCCACTACAACCAAATTGACTAATTGTATAAAGAAAATATATATAATTTTCTTTAAAATGGTCTTTTTAGAGATGAAACTAGCACTTAGACCAAATTGAGGAATTTTATATATATGGGCAATTGCTAGTGTTTCATTATTATATTAACACTATAGTTATGTGTGTAATAAGGTATATATTCATTACATGAGCATACAGTGGTGTTGTTTTAACTTGTTTTCTATATCATGACCTCAAACTACAGTTAGTTTCTAGAAATCTATTCAGAATCACACCGACGGAATTTATGCGGATCATAGAGATCTAATCAAGTTTGTGTTAATTAAATTTTGTCCAAGCTTGATCTACTTGAATGTACCCTTTTTCAGCCTAGTAAATCACAGCTCCATAGGGCATATACCTTGACAGTTATGGAATTACTTTTTGAGTGTCATCTTGTTGAGGGCATTTGTGTCATTACACCCTCTAAAAGGATATGAAGGCATTTCTTTCACAAGACTTTATGTAACTTCTTCTGTAAAAGAAAGGAAAAGGATAGGTATCAGTTGCAGCAGTTAACAGTTAAATGGATGGTTGAAAATTTTGTACTAAAAACACAGTGGGAAATGGTGGTACTACAACATCAGCAGCACCATGTAAGATTATCTTGCCGCTTCTTTTTCTTTTTCTTTTTCTTTTTCTTTTCTTTTTTTTTTTCCAATTTTCTTTCAGCATATTGATATGAAGTCAAAAAGCACTCTGGTGCGAATCAAATTCAAATATTATAGCAGCTGTACAAAGATAAGAGTAAGAGAGGCCTTGATGATTGTCTAATATCCAACCGTCATCTACACCGCCATCCACACTAAATTGTCATTAACTACTAAGAATTGATATTCATTGCTCGAGCATATAAGATAGGGATTAAGTGGTCCTTAATTATTGTCTTCTCCAAGTGTCACCTCCGGAGACTTTGATATTTTGCTTTCATTAGGGGCCACTTTTGCTGTCAACGTCTATTTTGGATTATGATGCTGTGTGGATTGAAAGCTCTTCAGGTTGACAGCAAGAGAAAGAACTCGAAGCACGCTTGACTTAATGGGTATCTAAATGCTAATGATGGTTCCGAAGTGAAATCATGAGAGTCACAAAACAAGCAATATTGTCTACAGAGGTTCAATTGATGAGAATAATTTGAAGCCAATCAAAATGCTAAAGTAAACTGTGTTCTCTGTTATGTCAAAGTCAATGGCACACCCTTATCTAATGTTCCTGTTTTTGCTTTGCCTTCCAGTAACTACTTCAAACCCTGCACTCAAGAGGTTTCAGAAGCAAATCCAAAACAAATTGTTTTGTAATGACCACTCAGAACATTTTCCTTTCAACCCACAAAAAAGGAAAAGGCACTGGTAAAACGTTGCACATGTTGTGAAAAATACCTTAAAATTAACATTGCATAGAAGCCCAAACTTTGAAACATAATTAACTAATCAGAACATCAAAAGGGAAATATGGTTCAACTCATGGTTGATTAAATGGTGTTCCATGTCATGTTTGTCGTTTCATTGGCTAGAACCCAATCTATCTTCACAAACGAATGAAACAATACAAGAAAAATAAAGGAAAAGGAAAAACAATGTAGCTCCAAAATGACAGCAACCATAGTAAGAGCACTAATTTGCAGACTAGACACACAATAGTTTCTGCAACTTGCTATGATTTATGATGATCGCTTGCCCCTTAAACCGACCTACAAGTGGACCACAAACATTACAATTTTTGGAAAAGGTCCAAATTTCGGTTAGCCATTAGCTTTAAACTAAGCATTTAGAGATTCATACATGGAACAGAAGGTATAAATTGGGATGATTGTGACTGGAACACATTTGTAGCCATTAAGATTGGATTATTATAACATATCACACAGTAGTAAGCATATTCTCATGATAACTATAATAAGGGAAGCATAAGGAGAGTGGCATTTTTAGAACTTTTGAATGTGATTGGTAGGTAAGTTGCACTCAGGGAGGCTAGTAGCCTTTTGCTTTTGATTTTCCCAAGTGGGGCACCCAAAATTTCCATTGACCTCATTCATCACCTGTCTCCCACCATTAGTGACTATTGCCTCAGTATCAGTTCATTACTTACATGTTTTGTTTATCACGAGACAATATACCAATGAAAAGGTGGAAAGAAGAATATGAACAGAGTCACCTGTGGAGGAACAAAATGCCTCTTTTTGGGGGGAAGAATCAACAAAGTAATTAAGATAATCTCAATTACAAAGTACCATTTAAATTTCTTCCCAAGTGAGCAGAATCACCTTAATTTCTTGAATTTAGCATATCATATCTACTAACAATATTATACTAGGGCACTTGTTTCTAATCACTCCATTTAATAATATTGAGTTGTGATTCTTGTTTACTCGGGTTTGGTTACTCAAATACCACTATACCCTAAATTTTACACTTTCCCTATATCCCTACAGTAAAAAGTCAGAGCATAACAAATCTTTGTCATCATTCAGTAGTTTTTTTCCCCTTCTTGGTAAGAATCATCCGGTCGACTTAGGTAACAATGCACTGAAGTTTAAAAAGTAATTTACCTGAAAGATGCATATATGGGTATATCAGATCAATTGTATTTACCCAATAATGCACTTCCATTTTAGTAAAGAACTCTTGATAGTACAGTCTTGGCAATCTCTTTTTTATTTTATAAATGTTGATTGTGCAAGCAATCCATGCAAAGCCCCCACTCACTTAGTGATTGACATGGATGTATCATAGCAACCCTTCTCATTTCCTCACACTCTACGACTCATTATATATGAATATGACAATTAATAAATAAATAAATAAAACTTTTCCTTGAGATGGCTCGCTCATCTCTCTCCTCAATAGATCTTTCTAGGGCCCATATGAATTAAAGCCTAACCCATTATGGCTTCCAGCCTTGAGTGTGATTGGGGTAATAAGACACCCCTCACATGACTCTCAATGTTGCAAATATAAAAATATATAGGAATATGACTGCATTTGTTAGGAAATGATTATACCTTCATTACCCATTCATTTTATTAAAAGCAAAAGCCATTATTCAAGGTGGGAATGGATGAAAAAGTTGAAATCAGAGGCCTCACATATCCATTACTCAAAATCTCTACCTTCTGTCCTTAAAAAATAAAATTTGGCACAATGATTTCAAATGAGTATGAGGATCATAGGCTTTTTCTAGGCTTTTGGAAGTAAATGCATATAAAATCAAAGGGTTATCAAGAAAACAGAGTACTTGGTCTTGGTCTGCCTGTGGCGTGAAACTTTCGAACCATCATAAATCCCTAACACCCATCCATTATAGTGTGGTGTAGGTCTTAATAGGCTGCACTTTAGTTTAATCACCCAACCCGCCAATTTACTAATTAGCTTTGCCAAGTTAAAACTATAGTGTCCTAATATTTTAGTGGCATAAATAAAGAATTAATAATGAAGGTTAGGAAAGGTAGATACCAATTACACATGATCTCAAAGAAAAGTGATATGGAAAAGTAGTTCATGTCAAATACAATTATACATACCCTGAAAATCACACAAGACAAAAAGAGAACTTACACAAAAAAATATAGTTTGGTCTGTCTTTATATGGACTCTTTTGAATCATCACAAGGTAAAAATTCAACAGATTCATTGCAATCAAATAAGCTGGTCTGCCATCGGCGAAAAGAAACTTATCATTTCTAACAACAAAACAAATACAAATTGGTAAACTAGTAGTACTGTCATGACCCACTAGCAACTATATCTAATAATTTCTACCTCCCAAACTTTGCAACACCAATGGAAACTGTTCTATTTGCATTTTGTGCATGAAAATCTATGCTCCATATAAAGAAATGGATCTTGTTTGTCTCATCTCATACAAGAACTGGCCAACAATCTTTGTCTCTTTACAAATTTTAACTAACCAATTTGTTAAAAAGAATGTTGAAAGCCAAAAAGGAAGAACAAAAAAAAAACTGTAGAATATGGTTTTTAGCAAGCTTAATAAGACAACAAATTTGGGAGTTGGAAATCACAAACCATAGAGGCATCATAAACAGTCAGCATCATTAAAGTTCTTTCAGCATCATCTACTGTAAATAAGTCAACTTTTATATCAACTGGCCTCCTTTAACAACTAACAGCTTTTCTCTCCATCTCACCATCTTTTGTGAATGTCATTATCTATGGCTAACATAATCGCAGCCTCCTTTAATAATTAACAGCTTTTATACTCTCTCCATGTCACCATTTTTGTGAATGTCATTATCTATGGCTAACATAATCACAGAAGCCCATTTTATGTTGTTACCACCATAACCAAAAAACTAGGCTTTATGATTGGCACTTTTCAACGATTCATATCCTACAGGATAGATGTTTTAGCCTTCTTGGAATCTCATGAGTGAAATTGCAGCTGTCGTGAATTGACAACTGAACATTCTCCAACTTATTTCAACCTGGTTGGTCTAAATGAACAGACCCCCTCCATCACCTTTCTCTTGAAGAAGACTATATTGGTTATAGGTACCTCTAGATGGTCCCAAAGCAAATGAAACTGATTGTGTTATACAGACTTCTTTTTGTTTTGGGGGGTTATAAGGACTTTGATAACATGGACCACTGAGCAGGTGAATAACCACTGAGGTTGGTTGGAAGTTCCAAACATCAATCCAAGAGCAGGGTGGTAAGACGAACCAAGCTACTTGAGCTCGACTTCAAAATTGACTTGTTATGTAAACAAGTCAATTTTGAATATATTTTGAAACTCCTTAGTTTTTTGAGCTCAGGTTGATAAATTTATATACACTATAAAAAATAAATAAATAAAACCACCCCGTTTACGGTCCCATCCAAGGGTAAAAACTTGGCTAAATGGAGTAAGCCTAGTAAACTAGAGAGTAAAATAAGATAGAATATGCATCGTTAGAAGATGTTAAATAAATTAGAAAGGGATAAAAGGAAATAATAAGATTAAAAAGTAAGCTCCACTTTAATCCTCATTGGATTGGAGTCTGGGAGGGATATGGTGAGAACAGACGTAACATTTGGTATTATTTGCACAAAGTGGCTCCCCTCATACTCATACCCGCAACCTTCAGGTTAAAAGGCGAGTTGTTATACAACTGTAATACCAATTCGAAAGTATGATTACATTGATAAGATCAATTGAATAAACAAAAAATTCTCAAGCTTCTGATTAGAAGCTTCTTGAATGAGTGGTCCAGAAACTTAATGAAGTGCTACCTTCTATCATATTGACTAAAAACCTAAAGTAATCTCACAAGAGTTCTAAGTCAACTTCTCTTGTTTTGGCTCTGTTTGGTAGAGCTGTGGGAAAGTGATTATAATTTATAGCCAAACAGCTTATACCTTATAGCTGTGAACATAAGCTGATTTTTGACTTATAAATTAAGCTTCTTCTCTCCCACTTAAAGAATAAGTTGATTTTTGACTTACAAAAAGCTATAAGCTGTATTGTTAAGCTGAACCAAACACATCAAAATAGCTTAAATGAAGCTAAAAACTGAAATAAGTTGGAAATAAATCCTACCAAACAAGGCCAATAGCTTCACTAAAATTCATTGGATCCCCTTACTTCCTTTTGATGCATGACAAAGAAAAACTTTTATTGTAAAGTTGTAAAATTTACTGATTATCAGTTTTCTCTAGGAAATAATTTCAAAGATCCACTTGAATCAATATTGTATGCTATAATGATCTGGCTCAACTTGCTTCTCATACTTCTCATTAATATATATATATATATAGTCAATGACTAAAGGAATGTAAGATATTCATAATAGTAATGATGATTAATGGATTAATTAATGGATTAAAATGCTGATGCAAAAGTACTTGTAAAGATGGGGAAAACAACCACAAATGTTGCTTGATCAAGCAAACAGCACATTTTACTGACACCAGAACATCGTGAATGCTGTGGAATAGTTTGAATACATATACTAATTACAACAAGTGTGGAAAGAGTCTTGACATTTAATTCCTTTAGCATCAGTGTGCACACGCGCCAGAATAAGTCCAATGTTTGCTCGCTTGTGAATTAGACGTGTCAAAGTAGTCAGTTTGAATACAGAGAAAAATAGAAAACATACTATTATCTATGAATCAAAGAAAGTATAGATGATAGGATATGAGTGCTTTCATACATAAGTTTTTAATGTTGATAAGAATATTACATTTTCTTTGTTATTATTTTAGCCAAGAAATTAATCTAATAAAATCTTTTGTGGGGAATTTCATGGCCAAAAAGAAGCATTTCAAAGATAAATCCACATAATTTCAGGACCAAGAAGAAGCATTGGAAGTGAATTTAGTGACATCGTATTGCCACTAAAGATGACTTTAAAAAAAGCACTTTCGAAAAACAAATAGAAAGATCAAAATCCTTGGCCATGAGTAGATAATGTTTATCATAATATTCCCATTTTGGAAAGGATGATATGGAAGCATCCCACCAAAGAGCATGAAAATTTTTAAGGGAAAAAGGAGTGGTGAAGGAATGGGACAGTGGTGGGGAGTTGCTCTTCCCATTTATTTGTGGGGTCACTCATTGATACATTCCTAGGTGGTCTAACAAGTGCCATGTGGAATCCTATCAACCATTTGTTCAATTACACATGATATTGTTGGGCTGCAAGGGTGTTGACCTTGGAAAGTCGGTACACAGATGTAGAGAGTGATAACAGATTGAGAAAATTGCAACACAGATGTGTTAAAAGTGATTCCAAAACTCTATCTTCTTCAACATCCCCTTTCCCTATTCCCCTCCTACTAATTGTAATACAGAGTAGTTGTTTCTTTGACTCAAACTCACATTTGGATATTCATTTCAAAATCTAATGAGTAAAGGCAACACTGTCCTTAAGACCAAGTTACTGTACCCAGAACCTATCAATAAAATACAGTAGAGAAGAAGAATGTATATCATAATGGAAGTACCAAGTGCCATGACTGTTAGTAGTGCAAAATTACTAGTACAAATTTTCCACTCGACAATCGACAATGAACAACAAAAGGTAAAGGAAGCTTTATGCAAATTATGGAAGAGATCAAAATCAGACACTGACCATTTCAAATTCTGCAGGGATGATGCATTTGTCATGCTTTAGATCTTTTTCGCTGGGAAACTAAGAACTGGTCCTAGAATAACAGATGTTGACTCTTAGAATAAGAAAAAGGATTAGTAATATAAAAAATAAAAAATAAAAAACTGGAAAATCTTCAAGGACCTTCAGTTAAAAAACACGAGAACAATAGACTTGCAATAAGTTGCCCTGTAGCATCATGAAACATTAGTTATCTATTGAACATGTCAGCCATGTCTACCTTTCAGCTAATTTGTATGTGCATAATTATAATTTTAGCAAATGAAACAACAGAGCTACTTCAGCAAAATAAATTCATTTGGATGATTCTTTAGTGTACTGTCTACAGAACACAGATGCTAGAAGCTTCTGTTTCATCATAATTCTCTTCCTGTCGGGATCTGACATTGAAATCCATTGAGATGGTAACTAGCAGATGTGATTACAATGGGTTCCTATTTACATCTTTGTACAGCAGATAACGTGTCCTGGTTTTACCAAGTGCACCATACCTGAAAAGGCACATAATACATTAGTATCCACTTAATTTGCTTATATTGGATATTTCTGCAAGAAAATCATATAGTAATCACGCACCACTGCGGCACAAATGGGGCCATCCAAATAGCATCACCAGCTTGAACTGGGTACCTGTTCAAGGAAAGCAACAAAAAATGCTTTCAGAGGAACAGAGTACAGAAGTGGCTGTCAAAGGAAAAAACTACCAAGTTCAGCCCTTGCACGGTTCCAATGGCAGTACAACCTAATGTAATCAAAACTTGCAATCATGCTGTACTTCAATAGAAGTGTCATGATGATGCACAAACACCAGTAAGGTGCCAGGATTTCAGTTTGCCCCCCTTCTTTTGTCTTTTTTCAAAAGTCAATAATTTTTGGATAAGTTGAAAAAAAACAAAAAAAAAACAAAAAAAAAAAACAACAGCCAAATAGTACACAATAATTTTTGGATAAGTTATTATGTGTCAATTTTTTTTTTTTTTTTTTTTTTAATCTGATCATTCTAATTTTGTCATGTCTCAGTCTATAACAACAGACAATGCATTGGACACAAATGGGAATATGGATTTTTGGCACTGTTGTCACATGTTAAGGGAACACCAATTCCAATACATGCATACACGTGTAAAGCATAATAGTGTGAATGGTGCTCAGTCAGTTCATAGAAAGAGGCACACACAATGGATTTATACACATTTATAGAAATTCGCAAACTTTCTGCGGAGAACTAGCATTAACAGCAGAAAGTGAGACTATTTAAAAAAAATTATACTAATAAATTTCTAGCTGTGAACTCAGCTATTAACATTGGGAAACAATGCCTATTGACAAGGTCAACAAGTAATTTCTTTAAAAGCAACATCGCTACTCAGAAGCTAACGGAAATAGAAGAAATTTTCATGTATTCTAGATTATTAAGAATCCTAATTCATATTTCTTGCTCATAGTGTTTTAACCAGCTGATAAAATTTGAGATGTCAATAAAAGATTACAGGGATAATTCGCCCATTGTCCCAAAATGGAAAATCAATAAAAAAAATCTGGTTGCTCTTTTTGTTTCAGGAGGTCTAAGAAGTTAGCAGTGTAAAATACAACAAACTCTCTTGCAGTCACAAGTAGTTCAATGAAATTCTTACCAGCTATCACCTAAGCGATAAATGCCCTGGCCCTCTAAAAGCAACAAACCATGCTGATTATAATGTACCTCCTGTCAAAGAGAGCAAGCAAACACATGGTAAAAATTTTCCATTCACTGGTTTAAAGAAACAGCATTTCAAGAAGCTAAAACAACAATAGTAATAATAACAACAACAACAATAACTATTGAAAAGATCATAATGTTTAACTACCCAAGTAATAAACAAGAACTTAGTTGAAATTACTTCCTGAAGATATTTAGAGAAGATTTAGTACTAAGGTGTACCAAACATCGTTTCAACTTTGAGAAATTACCATGGATTTGTTTCGCTTATGAAGTGATCAAAGTTTAGCATGAAAATAAAACATTGACTGTGAAAGTAATGTGAAGTACATAATTTGTGAATTAATATTTACGACCTTAGAGTTAAATATAGTAGTTTCAACTAGGGGAAAAAAATACCTTCACGTTAAGAAATTCTCCAGGTTGAAAATCCATGATCTGCAGCAGGAAAAAAAAAATAAAGAAAAAATAGAAAAGTCAAGCTCAAGAATTTAAAATAAATTACATCTGCAAAACCCAACTTAGTACACCTATAATGAATCCAAAATAAAAAGGGTTTAGACACAGGATTATGGACAAAACCAATGTGTCCTCCAGACAGATCTAATAAACATTAACTCAACCAACTCAGCAAGACTCTTACCGCCAAACCTCAGAGAGTTAGAACCGATATGGCATCACATAAATTTAAGGGGAAAAGTAAATTGGCATGACTAGACACGGACCATAAACCACATGAAAACATAAATTTACTCCATGATCTAACATACGACTTACATGGATGTTGAAGTCGAAAGGCATAGAAGCAGGAAGAAGCTTCCTGAGTTCGAAAACCTGATAACAAGAAATGAAAAGTATGAAAGATGCAACATTAATGAAATAATAGTTGAAACTACTTTGCAACAGGAAGAAACATGCCAAAAGATGTGAAGACTGCTAATTCTTCCTAAATAGGACTTGGCATAGACATGGACACGTGACACGATAGACACAAATTTTCAAAACTGCAGGACACAACAAACGAGGGACACGTACAAAACATATAATTTTATATATTTATTATATGTCATATATTTAAATATTATATATTTATTCTGTTATTTCCACAAAGAACGTGTGTGTAAATATGTGTAATTAAAATAAACAATAAAATAAAATAATTCAGAAAATAATCAAATAAATTATCTCCCGAATTAAATACTTATAGAAAATAATGTCAAGGCTTGTGTCGGACAAAATCTCCTTAAAGTAGATTTCGCCCTCGCTCCGGTGTTTCGAGTTTTAACCGGCATCTACTTCTCAGGATGCAACGACTAACACTTGATTTTACAACACTATAAAATCAAGCCTGGCGAACCAAACAATGCTGTAACTCTTTCTCTTTCTTTTCCTAAAAATAAATGCATAAACAGATGCAGGAGCAACAAAGGACGAACAAAAGAAGAAAGGGAAGAAGTTTGGAAAAAAAAAATTTTGATACAAAATGAATTGCTGGAGCAGACATTATATAGGCAGATTAGTGGCTGTTCGAATAGGTGCCAACAGATAGGCAACTGTTCGGACAGATTTCAATAGATAGAAAATCTGTTTGAACTGTTTGGACAGTTCAAGATCTGTCCGGGAAAGATTCAACAGCTTCAAAACTATTCGGGTGGGTTAGGAACTGTTTGGGTGAAGGGAAAAAATTTGGACCATTTATGTTGATTTTTGAAACCAAAAATAAAAATAAATAAATAGAGTTCAAATATATTTGACCTAAAAAGATAAGTATTGGGTTGGACAAGCCCAGCCCAGCCCAACCCAACCTCACACCACGTACTCGCGCCCAAGCCTAGCCCAGCCCGCCTGGCCGGCTGGACGAACAGCGGTGGCGGCACCCCCTTTTGGTTTTTATATTGGGTCCAATAGGTCTAACCCACTTCATCCATAACCTCACCCTTCCACAAACTTGGGTACCCTTTGGGACCCATCCCAAGTATCCCAAGCTAAGGTATATAAACTCATTCAAAACCTCAAGCCTTTTCAATGTGGGACAAGCACATGTCACAAATGTGTAGGAAACCCACCAAAAGCTAGTTCCATGAACCCGAAAATGTGTGTTGAATTCTCATTCATTCGGAAATGATTTTGAGCAACCAAAGACACGAATTTATTCACTACGCGGCATTAAACATGAACCCAATTAGAAACATTAAAAATAACGCTTGGGTCCTACCTTAATTAATGCTCAAAGTTAGCAAAAAATAAGGTTTTTTCTAAAGTCATTTTCCAACAATCCCCCACATGAATAGAATTCACGATAACGGACATGCAACAAGATACAAACAAAGAAAAAGAACATTAAGAAGATACACCACATCGAGATAGGTAGCTTTTGGCTTTGAACCTCTTCTAGTGAAAGCCTATCGGACTTACTGGCTAACCAATGGACGCGATGCCTTAAACAATTTATATAATTATTATAGTGTATCCGCAGGCACAGTTTGATTTTTACGGTTGTGTTCATTTTGGCCCTAAACAACGCCTGGTAATTCATGAGTGCTCTAGAGAATTTAGCCTTCTCAATTCTTACAGAACCGGCCTAGTTCACACTCATAAAGGTGACTTCTTATTAAGAGTATCCTGCTATACCCCACTTGGATGTCCAAGCTATAAGAATCATTAAAAGCAAAGCTTATCCTACTAACGCTGCAGGTATCATTCTTTTTATCATAGAAATGGGTAGGAGTAAACTGTTATTTTAGAGAATTCAAGATTAGAGAATGATTAGAATATCATTCCCTATTTATATTAATGAAGATTAATAATTACAAGGAAACCCTAAGGCATAAAATAATTGCAAAATAATAACCCAAATAATCATATATTATTCTAACACTCCCCCTCAAGCTGGTGCGAAGATATCTCTCATGCCCAGCTTGCCTAAGATGTCATGAAATGGCTTACTCCGAACTCCCTTGGTGAGGATGTCAGCAAGTTGTTCACCAGACTTCACAAAGGGAGTGCATATTGTGCCACTAGTGAGTTTCTCCTTAATGAAGTGGCGATCAATCTCAACATGTTTTGTCCTGCCATGTTGAATCGGATTGTGAGCGATGTTGATAGCAGCCTTATTATCACAGTATAATCGCATGGAGTCTGTCTGATCAATACCTAAATCACTCAACAATAACCTGATCCATAAGAGCTCACACACCCCTTGTGTCATAGCTCTAAACTCAGCTTCTGCACTCGACCTGGCAACCACATTCTGTTTCTTACTCTTCCAAGTAATTAGATTGCCTCCAACAAAGGTGCAATACCCTGAAGTCGATCTCCTATCAGTCACTGACCCAGCCCAGTCAGCATCTGCATAGGCTTCTACATGAAGATGATCATACCTTGAAAAATAAAGACCCTTACCAGGAGCAGACTTCAAGTACCTCAAAATTCGCATGACAGCCTCGGAGTAAATCTGATGAGAAGAATACATAAACTGACTAACCACACTGACAGCAACAGCAATATCAGGACGAGAGTGAGATAGGTAAATGAGTTTACCCACTAATCGCTGATAGCTCCCCCTATCAACAGTTGCTCCTCCTTCATCATCCCCCAGTTTCTGATTGGGTTCTAGAGGAGTGTCACAGGTCTTGCAGCCAAGCATCCCAGTTTCCTTCAACAAATCAAGCACATACTTCCTCTGTGAGATAAATATCTCATCCTTGGAGCAAGCAACTTCAATTCCCAAAAAATACTTCAAGCTCCCCAAGTCTTTGATCTCAAACTCACGGGCTAAATATTTCTTCAACAGAGGAATTTCCTCACTATCATCACCTGTAAGAACTATGTCATCTACATAAACAATGAGTGTTGTAGTCTTACTAAGTGAGGAATGTTTCACAAACAATGTGTGATCTGCTTGACTTTGTTTGCAGCCATATTTAAGCATAGCCTGAGTGAATCTCTCAAACCAAGCTCTCGGAGACTGCTTGAGACCATATAATGGCTTCCGAAGCCTACATACTTTGCCTTCTGTCTGATGATCCTCAAAACCAAGAGGAATGTCCATATATACCTCTTCTTCGAGGTCACCATGGAGAAAGACATTCTTTACATCAAACTGATGAAGTAGCCAATCTAGATTAGCTGCTAAAGAGAAAAACACTCTGACTGAATTCATCTTAGCCACTGGTGCAAAGGCCTCCTGATAGTCAACGCCATGCGTCTGAGTGAACCCTTTTGCCACAAGTCTAGCCTTGTAACGCTCAATAGAACCATCCGCTTTGTGTTTCACAGTATACACCCATTTACATCCCACAGGTCGTTTGCCCTTAGGTAACTCAGTCAATTCCTAAGTACCATTCTTCCTAAGTGCTTTCATTTCCTCAATCATGGCAAGTTCTGATAGTCAACGCCATGCGTCTGAGTGAACCCTTTTGCCACAAGTCTAGCCTTGTAACGCTCAATAGAACCATCCGCTTTGTGTTTCACAATATACACCCATTTACATCCCACAGGTCGTTTGCCCTTAGGTAACTCAGTCAATTCCTAAGTACCATTCTTCCTAAGTGCTTTCATTTCCTCAATCATGGCAAGTTTCTACTCAGAGGTAGCAAGAGCATCCTGAAAATGGTTAGGAATGCTAACAGAGGAAATATTGGACACAAATGCTTTATATGAGGACGACAAATGAGAGTAGGACACAAAATTTGAGATAAGATGTTGAGTACAAGACCTCACACCATTTCTCTTGGCAATCGGAACATCAAGATCAATGGACTCAAGAGATTCAAAGGTACCTGGACTCTCATCAGAAGCAGGAGATGACAGTGGAGGAGCAGAAGTGGTCTCTTGTATCCAGTTAACTTTTTGTCTGTCTTTGTCCCTGACATAAACTTGCCCTTCCCTATCCTGGGTGACATTGGGTTCTGCAGTCCCAGTATGAGATGGTGATGCAAGAACAACTAGTTTCACCATAGGAATCACAGGAATCACTTCACACCAAGGCTCCCCTTGAAGGGAGGACTGTGACACCGGAGAGGACAAGAAATAAGACTGGGACTCAAAGAATGTGACATCCATGGACACAAACCACTTACGAGAAGGAGGGTGGTAACACTTATACCCATTTTGAGTAGGAGAGTACCCAAGGAAAACACATTTGAGGGAGCGAGGGTCCAACTTACCACGAAAAGAAGAGTGATTATGGACAAAATAGACAACCAAATATTTTAGGAGGAATAGAAAACAAGGACTAGGAACCTAGGAGGACTTGAAGAGGAGCTCGTTTTTGCAAGACCTGAGTAGGAAGATGATTAATAAGATGGTCAGCAGTGAGAACAGCGTCGCCCCAATAGGACCTAGGCACACTCATAGAAAAACACATGCACCGAGCCATGTCAAGAAGATGGTGATTCTTGCGTTCCACCACCCCATTTTGTTGAGGGGTATTGGTGCAAGAGGTCTGATGGATAATGCCATGAGTAGAAAAATAATGCCCTAACCCAGAATCTATGTATTCACCCCCATTATCAGAACGGAATATTTTGACTGTAGCCCCAAACTGAGTACAAATCATCCTATGAAAATTGTGGAACACCGAGAAAATCTCACTCGTCTTTCATGAGATACATCCAAGTAATACGAGAAAAATCATCAATAAATGTAACAAACCAGCGATGACCTTTCACAGACACAACACGAGATAGACCCCAAACATCAGAATGTATTAATGAGAAAGGAACTAAACTTTTATTAAAACTAGGAGCAAAAGAAGCTCTGTGTTGTTTGCCAAGCTGACAAGACTCACAAAGAAATTCAGACACATTATTGTTTGAAAAACCAGATGGAAA